TATTTTTAATATTATTATATTAAAATATTTTAAAAATTAAAGAAACTAACTTGAAGAAAAAAAATATAAAAAAAATATTTTTTAAACATAAAAACAAATTAGTTTTTTCATGAATTCAGAAAAACTTTTACCAAGAATATATGATTATTGAGTAGATCGGTATAAAAGGTGGTTTATTATTTTTTTAAATATAATAAAATAATTTTTTTTTATTTTTAATATTAATATATTAAAAAAATTAAAACTTTTAAAATAAACCACGCTTTCAAAATTTATCTCCGAAACAAAGCTGCTTCTATCTCAAATGATTACTTTAAAGTTTATTTGAAAATGTTTATATTTTAAATGATTATTTTAAAGTTTATTTGAAAGTTTGAAATTGTGATGGTGATTGTTTTTAAAATATTTTTTTATTTAAAAATATATTATAATAATATTTTTATTTTTATTTTTTTTACATTAACACATTAAAATAATATTAAAACACAAAAATATATTAATTTAAAATAAAATATTAAATTTTTAAAAACTTATCTTTGAAACACAACCATAAGTTTATGAAAAATAATTTCACAAGTAAAAATACCAAAAAGTTAGGAGCACTTGATGTGATTGTTATAGTAGATTAAAAAAATCAGAAATTTTAGCTGTGAATTTTTTTATTTAAAATTGTATTAAAATAATATATAATTTATTTTTAATATTAATATATCAAAACTATCTAAAAATTAATTTAAAAAATGATTTTTTTAAAAAGCATGGTTTAAAAAAAAACACGCTGCCTTGAGACAGAAGCGAAGGTAATAAATAAAGGCAAATAAAGGGAAAGGCAGCCTGGTTTGGTTTGGGCAGCGTGCAGAGAGATATGCAGGAGCCGGGGAGCAAGTAATGATGGACCTGACACACACTTCCCTAGCCTCGTTAGACCCTATAAAATTCTAACACTTTTTTTGCTTCTTCACTTCGACCTTCGTGCGATTGCGTGCCACCCTCTGATCATACCGTAACCAATAAAAAGCCTTAAACAATGGAGGTTTTCATTATAAAAATAGCACCTGTTATGAAGTTATCTTAGAAAATATCACAAGTAATAAAATATTTACAAAATAGCAAGTCTTATTGTTTTCAATTTTTTAAAATATAAAGGCACGCTATTCCGAGCAGAATAGCATCTCGAACGGTGTGTTTATTTTAGCTTTTAAAAAATATTTTAAAATTTTTTTATTTTAAAATATCTTAATATTAAAAAGAAATTAAAAATAATCTCTACTATAATTTTAAAATATTCCACCACCTTTTAGTTTGGGTTTGAGATTCATGAAACAGTTAATAAAATGTATAGAAACTAGGATCTTTAAATTTTAAGAATAAATTTTTAAATTATAGAAAAATTATGGTAGTTTTTAGAAATTTGTAGAGATAAAAAAATACATAACCAACAGAATCCACATCTAAATAAAAAATAATTAATTTTTTTTAAGAAACAACAAAATTAACATTTTTTTGTTGTTTATTTTTTAAGATAACAATTCTGCACAACTAATCAACCTCTACAAAAAAAAAATATGTTTTCATGAAAAAATATAAATTTATTAGAAATACAAGTTTTCCAAACATGCATAAGAAATTTTCTATGTTACGCGTTCCCAGCATTGCAAATTATTGTGACATGATTTTTTATTAAAAACATTAAAAAAATTTACCTGTCAAATATATTTTTTATGCAAACACGGATTTTTTTTAATATATATAAAAACACTAGGAACCATCACTCATCAACCTATTGTCGTGATGAGCATGGATATTTGTACAGAAAGGGTTAAAATAGGAGGAAGGGTGTTAAGGATTGCGTGCCAAAAAAAGTTAAAAAGCGGACCTTGTCTCCTCTGCTTTTGTTTCTTCCCATTACAAAACCAGAAAATAAAGACAGGCTTTCTTATGGTAAAAGTTCAGAAGGCCACATTCCTTTATCTTTTTGCATAGCTGACCCGCGATTCTTTTCTATTTTTATTCATGTCACCAGAAAATAAATTGTAAAAATGATTTTTTTATCAGAGTGCTTATAAAAAAAATAATTAACCCAGTATCAATAATTTAGTTTTTTCAAATAATTTTTACCATTGAATGTGCTCATAGCTCTTCAAGCCGGGTTAGAAGAGAAAATGAGCCCACTCATGGTAGACGAGTATTTTTATCATATTCTCGACATCGTCTTGTCTTCATGGGAAAATGGACGAACCAGCAACATTTTGTACAGTCTTAGCTGTTGAAACGGTTCTCGAACAGCGTGCAAAAAAAGTATGAATTAATGCTGTAAAAATTGATTTTTGATCAATAATACATTAAAATAATATAAAAACATACAATAATAACTCAAATCTAAAAAAAATAATTTTTTTAAAAGGCATGGTTTAACACAATGACAATCAGGAAAGCAATATACTAGCGCGAGCTTCCTTAACCGAAGGCGATGTAAACAAAGTCGAGGGGCCACTCTGTAAAACAAGCAAGAGTTCAGAGGTGACAATGACAAAAAAAGAAATTTCCTCGAAACTGAAACCCTATTTGTCGTGCAGTCGACAATAAGGTGAGGTAGGCCCCAGAGGGATAGGGGCATCATTATTGACAGTCCCTTTCTATATCTTCTATTTCTCGCATTTCTTTTCAACTTCTCGGTTTTTATGGGCTTTCAATGGGCCGGGCCGGGCTCCTCCGAAGTGAAGATTTTATCTTTTTTAAATAGTTAGTAAAATAGTGCTGGCGAGTCCCGCGATCAATTAATCTAAATCTATGCTGAGAAATTAGGCTACTGATGGGCATTAATACTTTAAAATTCTTAAATCAGTAGCACCTTGCAACTCCTTCATATGTTTTGTACACTTTAATCTTGATTAATGTTCAAAATTAATAAGTAATAACGTGTAAGTTATTAGGATTATTTCGATTTTATTTAAGAATTGATAAATACGCAAAAATTAGTATGAGTGTACTCCTTTTTAGTAATAAAGATAAGTTAAATGCACAACTATTATCAATTTCTCAATTGGGTCAGCAAACAAGAGTAATTCTCAATTTGGATTGTTCATCTACCAAATATTATCCTTTAATCTTTATTTTTAAAATTAATGTAAAAATCATGCTTTTTTTAAGACAAACATATCTAGACTAATATTGGATTCTAACTTGATTTTCATTGAAATTTGTCCCTTTCAATTTTTTTTTTTAATGTTTTTGTATCATTTTAACATGTTGATATTAAAAATAAATTTACTATACTTTCATATAAAAAACACTTTAAAATAAATTATTATTACATTTTCAAATATCCTACATGGTATTAAAAGAAAGATAATTTTTTTAGCAGGATTAGTCGGAAAATATCCAATAAAAGAGTGATCTTATGAAAAAATTAATTTGTTTGGGGAACTAGTCGGAACCGGCAATAGCCTGGGAACAAACTTGTTCTCTTCCCAAAAAAAAAAAAAAAAAAACAGAAGCACATTTTTACTCATCCGAATTCCGAGACATCAGACGGCTAGCAACTGGAAGCCACCCTAGAAACAGTACTACCAGCATACAGATATCCTCAAGATGCAGCAAAGGATGTCTCTGTCGTTCGAATCATCAACACAATCAAGTAAAAAAGAAAACAAAGCCCGATGGTGTTGGGTCCAAGAATCAATGAGCTGACTCTATCCCTTCAAAGCTCTCCTTACTTGTTTCCCAATCAAATCAGTATTGCTTGTGTTGTCAGTTTTGGTTTTTTTTCTTTTCTGTAATCCTTCTTGTTTATAAATATATTAAAATAATATTTTATTATAATTATCTTAATCAAAACAGTAATGAAATATATAAAAAAGAAAAATTAAATTTTTATCCCCTTCCATTAAGACCCGCAATCCAAAAACAGGGCTTGAACTTTGGAAAACATTCGCTTCCTCTGTTTTGCATAAAATATTCCCACCCATGTCCCCATGTTTTTCTCATCCAATTCTTTCTTTAAAATATAAAATATTTCAAGTTAGTTTTAAATTTTATTTTATTTATTAAAATATATACATTCACCTTTTAAAAAATCCCAATATTAATTAACTCACGATATTATTTAATAATTTCATTTATAAGTGACATGGTCTCATCACCTTGACCTCCAAGCAGCCACCATCATCGCTATCTTAATCACACACAAGTTCCATCACATCCTTTGCCTCCATTATTATCATCACTGTCACTGTCTCCTCTTCTACCTTTATTCACTGCTTCATTATCAGAGCACATAATTATTGTTTCATTATCATTGAATTTTCATATCTTTATTTATTCAGTATCCTTTTTTTAAAAATACATTGTCATGCTTGTAAGATCCACATTTTCTCCGAATATAAAGGCCGATTACTCCCCCCCATATATATCCAACGATAAAAATGAATAATAAACCTAGAAGCAAATAAAAAAACACAAAAATTGAAATGAAATTTTTTTTTAGACATAGACCCAAATTTACATATGTTTTTTTTTAGAATAACAATCTTCAAGTGCTTCTTTTTAGGAGATTTACAAAATTTTAAATACACTAAAAACTATATTTTAATTAAAAAATAAAATAGAATTTTAAAATTATCAATGAAAGAAACATAAAATACAAAAATAATAAAAAACTTATAAAATTATCAAAATTAAAGCCTCAAGATAAGATTTTTAAAATGTAAAAATCGACAATCAGTGTAGCAATTCCTTGCTGATGTAAATTCCCATCTAAAAACATGATTGAAATTACATCAAAATTTTAAAATTTTTCAGCCAATATCCATAAATATATCTATCAATCTATAACCAATTCTCATCTGGTTATTTATGATAGATTCGCACATAATCACTCATTTTACATCAGGCTCTCTATATTTTTTGTGTTTCCAACGATAAAAATGAAGAAGGACAAATTGGACAGGAAAAGAAGTCGGCCTGTCAAGTCGCTCTTCTACTTTTATTGTTTTCTCCCCTTCAGTATTTAACGTTAAATCACATCACCTCGGATTTCACAGAGCAGAGCATCCCGTCCTCCTCCTTATTTCTCTCTCTCCCACTTCTCTCCCTGCTACGCGGCCATATGTTTCATGTCCCGATTCTGACTTTTATTCCCTCCCGCGCCTACTTTATCTTCTCTTTTTCGCTTTGCTTGTCCTGGCATTGTTTGTTTTGGTTTCTGTGTTCTTTGGTTGTTCCTTTAAATTTTTCTGAAGTCTGAAGAAGCTAAAACAGTGCCCATGTGCTTTTCTTTTGTTTGCTTTTGAGAACTGGAAGAAGAGAAGGAAAAGAGAGTAAGAAATGAAGAATCTATATTCTCTTACCATCTTTTTATCTATAATTGGTTGTGTAACTTGAACCTGTGTTAACCACCAACGCTCACTAGCTTATATAGATGGATGATGCGTGACTAACTTTTTCTACTTTATTTCTTCCCCCTTTTTTAGCTGAGTGTTTTGAGCCTCTTTCATTACAAAACACTGAAGAGATGACCAAAGAAGATGACTTTAAGCTCCTCAAGATCCAGGTCTCTCTCTCCCGCCCTCTCTTTCTTTCCTAGCCACATTCTCTGTGTCCTTTCTTAAAGTCCCACCTTTTCATTGTATTTTTTTATATCTGTTGGTAAAGTTTGGTAGTGGCCTCTTTTTCTCTAGCACCTGTCTTCTTGTTTTTGTTGTTTGCTTACTTCTTTTCTTCTTTTTTTTGTACAGACTTGTGTTCTCAAAGTGAACATACACTGTGATGGTTGTAAGCAGAAAGTAAAGAAACACCTTCAGAGGATTGAAGGTGCTCAGCTTCTTGTCATCATTTCTATACTATATTATAATGTTCTTGCCTTTTCCTTCTTGATGTGGGATTTTGAATTGCTTTGCTTGCTCTTTGTCATTTTTATAGTGCAGCAGAGTTTCTTGTAGTTTTTTATTTTGCTGCTATTAATTGGTAGCAAAAGAGGAGTGGTTTTGCTCTTGTATAATAGTTTGAATTCCAGTTGAAAACCAGAGCACGATGAATGGATGAAATGAGAATTAAAAAAATTATCCTTCAAATTTTCCCAGGGACAAGCCAGAACACTTGTGCTGTTACATTTCCCATGTCATGAATAAATTTATGATCTCCATTTTGTGACTTTGTTGATTTTCCTTGCGTCGAGCTACTAATTAATTTTCTCTGACCCATTTTTTTTAAAATGGAAATAATTACGGAGTCAAAATGTAAAATCTCTGCATAAAGAGCATACTATGTAATGATCGGTTATCAGAATTGACGAAATTTATCTTCATTCGAGGACTGATCATTCTACTAGCCAGTGATTTTGAGATATTTGTACTGTAGAAAGATAATGTGTCTTAGATTTATATGTCAAAAATAAAACCCGACTTATATTTGGTGATCAATTTCTTCAGGCTTTTATTTATTTAAGTTTTCTGAAACCGTTTTGTTACAGGAGTTTACCAAGTAAACATAGATGCCGAGCAACAAAAAGTCACAGTTTCAGGTACTGTAGATACCGCAACTTTGATCAAGAAACTAGTCAGAGCTGGGAAACATGCTGAGGTTTGGTCCCAAAAGTCCAATCAAAAACAAAATAACAACTGCATCAAAGATGACAAGAGCAATAAAAGTCAAAAGCAAGGCTTGGTCAAGGGCCTCGAGGCCTTCAAGAACCAGCAGAAATTCCCTGCATTCAGCTCTGACGAAGATGATGACTATCTTGATGATGAAGAAGATGATGATGGGGATGACCTCGGATTTCTTGGACCTAGTCAACTGGGTCTTCTCAGGCAGCATATCATGGATGCAAACAAAGCAAAGAAAGGTATCGGTGCCATTCCTCCAGCTTCTAACAATGGTAATGAAATGAAAAATCTTGTAAATGGGAATGCTGGAAAGAAAGGAAACCCAAATCAAAATATGGGAATGAAGGTCAATCCAGGGGGGATAGATCAGAAAACCATGGCAGCATTGCAAATGAAAAACGCTCAATTAGGTGGTGGAAACATCAGTGCTGGGGAGGGCCAAAGGGGAAATGACACTAGCACCGTGATGAACCTTGCTGGTTTTCGTGGAAATGATGCTAATGTCAGCAATGCAGCAGCTGCTATTGCTGCATTAGGAGGTAATCCCAACGGTCTAGGGTTGCAAGTTCAATCCAATAATATCGGGCATCAAGGACCTTCTGCAGCAGCGGGATTTCCGACTGGTGGATATCCCACAGGTCAGTACCCATCATCCATGCTGATGAACATGACTGCAAAAAACCATCCAGCATCAATGATGATGAACATGCAAAACAGGAATGGCATGCAACAACCCCAGATGATGTATCACAGGTCTCCCTATAATCCACCGAACACTGGTTATTGCTACAACCCTGACCCTCAGCTATCTCAACCGTACGCTGACCCTCAGCTATCTCAACCGTACGCTGACCCTCAGCTAGCTCACCCCTTCGCTGACCCTCAGCTAGCTCACCCCTACGCTGACCCTCAGCTAGCTCACCCCTACGCTGAACAACCTAATTATAATGGTGATTGCTCTGCTGCAGCATCAACAGAAATGTTCAGTGATGAGAGCACTAGCAGCTGTTCCATAATGTAATGAAAGCATGTAGAAAGAGTAAAAAACGAATGGTGTGCTGACTTGAATAAATGTAATGTTTAGGGGAGTTGGTTGCTCTCGTCAGTATTCTCCGGTGGTGTGGTCTGGAGGAACAGGTCGGATTGAGATTTGAGATGCAGGATGACTCTGTAGTTAGTTCTGAATCTTCTTTTTTTTAGCAGTGTATCGTTTAGTCGTTAAGATGTTTGTTTCTAAATTAGTCGAGCTCTCTCTTGTTCTTTTATTTGTTTGAATGGTTTGTGGATTGTGTAAGCCGCGCTACCAGCGAGTAAATAAACAAAAGGGAGTGAATTATTGAGTAAAATATAAATGTTGGTGTATAGCTTTGAGGAGCATTGTCAAATTCTGAGTGCCTTTAAATTTCCCCCATGACAGCCAAGGTGACGTTGGGCACTGTATATAGTACAAGCGACACGATGGCCCCGTTTGCGGAGACCAGTGGGAAGAAGAACAGCTGGGTTGACAAATGCATCTCGCGTCACGTGCAAAGCATGCATAATGTGGTTTAGCCGACACGACTGCTACAAGGTATGGTTAACACTGGAAAGTGGAAACCCTAAAATAGTTGGCCCTGATTCACTAACACCATTTTCCTCTATGGTGATAGCCGCTGATATTACGTGTTTTATGATATAAAAAAGTATTTTAATATATTATCAAACAAACTATTTTCTTAAAATTATTTTAAAAATATTATTATTTTGAAACACTTTTATCATTAAAATGTGTGTTTAGTATGATTGTAATTACTTTTTAAATAGCCTTTTGTTCTATGTAACACCTTTATCATTAAAATGTGTGTTTAGTATGATTGTAATTATTTTTTAAATAGCTTTTTGTTTTATGTTAATAATTTTTTTTTAAAAAAATTATTTTTAATATTAATATATTAAAATAATTTAAAAATAATAAAAATATACTAATTTAAAGATAAAATAAAAATAAAAAAAATTAAATTTTTTAAAAATATTTTTAAAATATAAAAACAAAGTCAAGTAAGACTTTAAATACAACAAGCAGGCCGACGTGGGCCAATTTATTGCTCTGATCCAAAACAATCAACCAGAAAGAACGGGACCAGCTCATTATTAAAAGGAGGATGTCACTAGCTGTGCGGCCATTGATTCAGAGCTGCAAGAAGGATCTCGCAAGCAAAAATTTCGCACGCCAATAGTTGTTGGGCTGCTTATATGTTTTAAAAAATATTTTTATTTTTTATTTTTCCACTTCGAATTAATATTTTTTAATATGTTAATACTAAAATTAAGGTTTAAAAAATAATAAAAATATTATTTTGATATGTTTTTAAGCTAATAGTAATTTAAAAAGTGACCGTACAAACACCCTCAACTTATATCTTAGGGAAATAATTGAGTGGGAAGGGAAGCAGGGTGGAACACATTTCACTCGTGTATCAAATAACTCTCTTAAGAGAGAGGAAGTTCGATGGATTTGGATTCCAACTCTTTCAATGCATGTATTCATGGAAGCCTATAAATTTAAATAATTACATTAAATAACGATGTTCTACCTGCTTGTATCTCGAACATCTAAAAAGGACACTTTAAATACACACTTCAAAATTAATTCTTTGAAGCTGGTAAGATTAGCAAGCAATCCCTTTAAACAGATGCCTAAATGATCAATCATGATTACTTAGAAGTTCAACTTATTATTACTTGTCAAATGTAAGTTAATTTTGTTTGTTCGAACCAGCACCACGGAAACAATGATTCAAGCGTGCATCACCATGTAAAGAAGTGGGAAGGACTTACAAGAGCGTCTAGAATTGAAGCCATTACTTGTCAAGTGTAAGTTAATGCACTGAGAAGGAATGTTGTGGACAGTAAAAGGCAGACAACGTGACTGAACGAAAACGAAAATAGGTTATAGGACAAGGTGCATTTGTGGAAGGGAGAACACAAAAATTAAACCTAAGAAGAAAGACATGCATTTGTAAATGAAAACATCCCCCTTAACACCAACAAGGCGCAGACAATCATAGGCTCTGCGCAGGGGGGCTGATTAACTACTGGAAGTATATCACTATCTGCAGCAATGGCGCAATCTATAGTTAAATTGATCACGTATATGTTATAATAACATGCAGATAGGTAATTATGGGTGGGGTGCTTGTTTTGTTAGAGAGCTAAGGGAGAGGAAGTTTTATTTCGCCATCGGTCCATCATATGCTTTGCGCAGGGGGGGTGAAAGTGGCCGCAGAATTGATGAGGCCACCACTACAAAACCCACTGTCACCAAGCCCGGTACCACGGACATCGCTCACAGAATCAATGAAGGTTACGACTTACAAGGACTCGGGCTTGCCCCAGCAGTCCAACTTCCTTTTATTTATTTTAAGAATATATTTGATTTTATGTTTAAAAATATTTTTTAATTTTTTGTTTGATATTGTTTTAAGAATATATTTGATTTTATGTTTAACAATATTTTTTAATTTTTTTTTATATTAATATTTTTTTAAATATTTTTATATAATTTCAGCAGTTCTGATATCAAAAATAAAAATAAAATAAATATTATTTTAATATATTTCTAAATAAAAAATACATTAAAAATTAATTACTATCACATGCACTCTTACCATAGTGGAGTTGAATTTCCTTATAAAATTTATCGTGGGCGCCCATTGAGAGATGCCTCACGTCTGAGTGGTATAAAATTTGGACCCTAAGCATCATATTTAATATTGAGCACGTTTAATTAATATTATTTTATTCTCTATGTTTTCTTTCTCATCAATCTTTACATAATATCTAATCATTGTTCAAAACAAAAAAAAATACAATAAAGAAAAATTAAATTATCAAACGGCCCCCGCTTGATAATATTCCCGGTTCCTCTCATTAATTTATCATTATCTATCTAACTTTCGTAGATAATTTTGTATCCACGCCATTTAAATAAGATTCATTTTGCCTTCATTCATTTTGCCTTCATTTAAAAAAACAGAGAGCAAAAAGGGGTAGATAATGCCGAGCCGAGCATGTAATGGTCACTCTCACACCACTCAAGCCAAGTGGTTTACACGTCGGAGATCACTTGGCCGAGCTGATTAATTATACAGGAGGAAACCTCGAAAGTGAAAGCCCTCTTATTTTCATGACTTGCTACGTTTCTTGGATGGGGAAGACAACCCTGCAAGAGATTATATGACTGTTCGTTTTTGTATTTGTTTTAAATTAATATATTTTTTATTTTTTAAAATATTTTAATGTGTTGATATTAAAAATAATTTTTAAAAAATAAAAAATTATTTTAATATATTTTTAAATAAAAATACTTTAAAATAACAACTATCATCACATTTATAAACATCCTAGTTTAAATATAATTGTTAAAGTTTTTAAATATCTTATTTGTTTTTGTGTTATCCAACCCAATTATCATTCAGCAGGACAACTCTGGCACCTGTAATCCAGCATCCTTTTGTTTTAACAGAGTGGGTTGAATTTCCTTATAAAATTTCTCGTGTACGTGCGCCCATTGCAGAGATGCCTCACGTCAGATTGGTATAAAATATGGGCCCTAAGCTTCACATTGATGTGTCCGGGCTTATATAATCTATGACCAAGGAAAAACTAACTTGGTATTATCAAACGGCCCCGCTTGATAATATTCCTAGTACTCTCATTAATTTATATTATCTAACTAACTTGGTTGATAATTTTGTTTCCGCGCGATTTATATAAGACGAGATGGTACGATTTTATGATGTTGGGGGTTTATAAAATAAATATATTTAATAATATTATAATTATAAAATAATATTAGATAATTAATAGAAATTAAAGATATAATTGAGCTAATATTTTATAATAGAAAAATAAAGTTATGATGGTGATATAAAATTTAGAGACTGAACAAAATTATTTGTAACAATACATGGTATTTTGTGAGGAAATATACAATATTTTCGTCACATGATTTATTTTTTAATAAAAAATAAAAAAAATTATATAATTAAATTCTCTATCAACTTAATATTAAAAAAAATCAACAGAAATAATTTAAAAAAAACCCATGAAAAAAAAACATTGTAGTAATTGAAAATATCTTGTGAGAAAAAATATAATATTTTTTCTAATAAAATCAACAGAAATAATTTTAGAAAGGATCATAAAAAAATCTTTAGAGAAATATTATAGCAATCTATAGTGTTTTGTGAGGAAAACAACAATACTTTCCATATATGATTTAGTTTTATTATAATTATAATTTTTAACCAATTCAATATTAAAAAAAAAATCACAAAGATAATATTGAAAAAAATCATATGAAAAAACATTACAGCAATTCACAGTGTTTAAAAAAAATTACAAATCTAAATTCTCAATTAGCTCAATATTTAAAAAATAAAATCAATGAAGGATAGTTTTTGAAAAAAAATAAAATAAAAAACATAAAAAAATAGGGATAAAAAACCATGCTAGAAACACTGTAATAATTCACAATGTTTTGTGATGGAAACTACAATATTTCTCCATATGATTTAACCTTATTTGTGATGACTTATAATTATAATTTTTAACCAGTTTAATATTAAAAAAATAAAATAAAAATTATAAAAATTATAAAAAAAACCATATAAAAAGATGGTATAACAATATACAGTGTTTTGTAAATAAATGTATAGTATTTTCCCCATATGATTAAAATTTATTACAAAGTTAAATTATAACCAATTTAACATTAAAAAAAAAACATCAAAGAAACTGGAAAAAAACTATGTGAGAAAAAACTATATCAATCTATAGTGTTTTCCGAGGAAAATTATAGTATTTTCCACATATAATTTAACCTTATTTATATTTACTTGTAATTGTAATTCATAACCAATAGACTTTGTTTATTTTTGTGTTTCAAAATCATTTTAAAAAAATTAATTTTTATTTTATTTTTTATTTACTTCAAACTAATATGTTTTTAATTTTTTCAAGTCATTTTGACACGCTGACATTAAAAATAAATTTTTAAAAATAAAAAAAATATTATTGACATATGTTTTGGTATGGAAAGCTAATTGAAAAATAAACGCAACCATATTAATAAAAAAAAGTGCAAAAAAAAAGAAAAAAAGAAGAAGAAAAGTGCAAAAAAGAAAAAAAAAGTGAAAAAAATAACGAAAAGGTGCAAAACTAAAATAGGAAATATTCTATAAATTACTGTTGTAATGAGATTCACCCAGCTTATTTCTTAATTTATTCTGCCTTCATTCATTAAAAAAAACAGAGAGAGGAAAAGGTTGGTAGATAATGCCGAGCCGAGCATGTAATGGTCACTCTCACACCACTCAAGCCA